ATACCTGCTTCATCTTTTGGGGCTGTTGCTATGTGATATCATAAAGTTTTGTACCTAATAGAGGTAGACACTTAATCTGCCAATGAGAGAGGAAAAGAGTACAAACAGGGATTTTAATTCAGATTTGCCACAAATGATACATGAGATACAATCTAAGTAGGAGATACAACTTGGGCTACTGAGACCATCTGCAAAAAGATTTTTAACCAAAATAGTCATCTGTATTGGAAACTTTTACATATGCAAATTGTGCTTCACTCAGACATTAAGAGTTCTTCCCGCACTGCCCACTTTTAGCATAACTGTAAAATTCTGGGAAGGAGGAACTGGCAGGCAAACCCAGTGTCCAGGAATGGGAGTTATCCTGGTTATGGGTAGATGCTTCATATTTCCCTTAAGAAAACAAAAGATGCTGCAAGTATAGCCCCCAAACAAAAGCCGGGAAATATAGAGAGAACTACTGGTCACTCCTTAGTATTTTCAGATTCTGGCCTTATCCCAGGATCTTATTTCCTTTGCAGGTGGCTTACGTGCTACAGAGAATTCCTTGTTAATAATTTGATTCATTTAATTCTCAATGCGAGCCTTTTATCATATCAGGATCACCAGGGAGCCTTTTTCAAAATACATATCCACTCCAGTCTTGAGATTTTGATTTCTTCTCCTCACCCCAAATATGGAAAATCAGTATTACTTAAAGCCTCTTTCATAAAAGGGAGTGCCAAATCTTTTGGTTTTACTGAAAGAAAAAAAATTAGGACTGTTGCTTTAAGGAGTTATAAGAATTCTCTTTCAGGCTCCATAGAAAATATTTTAAAAGAAGTATGACCTGGACTCTGTCCTCAATGGATTTAAAATGGCCAGAATATAAAAATGGCCGGGCTGAGGTATAAGAGTTGGAATGGTAAGAAAGGAGAGCCACAGGAGCTCACACAGTCAAAAATGTTTCCACCAACCAGAAAGTGCGTAAAAGGTCCATTATTACTACCATTCCTTACGGATGCTTTTAACAGTTAAGGTATTTTGATGAATCAAAGTGATTCATTTTCTAGTTAACGCATTAGCCCGGATTAGTTTATTTAACCTTGATACCTGGTGTCACAGCTGGAGCTTCTGAAGGAGTAGAACTAAAGATATGTATATTTTGAGAAGCAGGGAGAATGAAAAGCATGGTGGCTTTGTGTGATGCTGTGTTAAGGGCCCCTCAGCAAGGAAGGGCCTTCAGGAGTACTCCAGGGTGAGAACTGCCATCTTCAAAGAGGGAGACAAATTTGGATTACTACCCTGCAATCGTTGAATAGGACCTGCCTGCCAAATCAGGGGATATTAAGTTAGTTGTGCTTCATGAATTATTCTAATATGAAGTAAAACATCAAATTATTTTAAATCTTCCCTGATACTCTTTGATGCTATAAGAATATCATTTCCAAATAAACAATATATGATTGCTTTTATAAACAAAAAAATTTAATTGGTAAATAAAAATTAACTACAGTCTCCACAAAGGCTTACCGATAGAAAAATGTAAGACAAAGGACGATATAAGAAATTGAAAACCTGATAAATGAGCACATCTGAAGCCATCTCTCAGGGCACTGCAGCCCATTTAAATTCGTCTCACAGAGGCTATTGTTGAATTAATCTATGAGTCCAGCAAAAGTATGGAAGTTGAACTCCCTCCTCAGCCTCTATCACCTTCATTGTCACAGCTGGTGAGGTCCAAGCCACCAAATCCTCCCTAGATGTTCAGTTTGAAACCACGGTAAATAGCTTGTCTCTAGATCCGCAGTCACCGAAAGACAATCGCACAGGAAACAATGACTGGTGTAATGGCAAGACATTTAGAAATGGCAAACATTGGAGCAATAATGTGATGTGTTGTCGTAATTAGTGTCTGAAATACCCTGCCTTGAAGATGTGCTTTATAAAATACATAGTGTGAACTGTGAATCTGTAGCTCAGAAGCAGTTTATTTTAAATGAGAGAAAAGGAGAAGGATTCGTACTTTAAATTATTTAAATTTATATTCACCTATAATAAACCTCAGATGATCTATTCTGCCATAGTAGGTAAAAATGGTCATAGATTTTCCAAACTGATAACCCCTTCCCACACAACAGGCTTACACATACACACTTTTAAGTGACTTCTTTCTCTTTAAAGATACCGTTAAAATGTTTATGGTTCTTCAGGATTACATGTTGAGCTAGAATTATAAATATGTATAAATATGCAGATGCTCTATCGAATCATTCCTTATCCCATTTGTATTTCCGAAGTTGTGTAAGATAACCTTTGTGGCTTTCCAGAACATCTTCTCACACCCCAGGGGGCAAATTACCTCTATTTTCATTTCCTTTAGACTTAGATCATTTTATAATTAAGAACTTATTGAAGCAGATTCTCCCCATGTGTAAGTTACTCCCTGGGGAGTAATTTATGCAAAGAGCACCTCTGACTTAATATCATATAAACCTAACAACTGTACAATGGATACCTGGGATTTTTAGTCAATTTTGCAATCATTGTAAAAAATCCACAGTTGGAAAGGTTACACTGGGAAAAAAAAAAAAAAGACAAAACCTGGAACAAAAAGCTTATAGTGTCATTTGTTTGGGTTTTTTAATGATTAGATTTTTTAATAAGGGAATAATAATGTGGCTTGTCATATTTTTTGTCCAAAAACATCAGAAATAATGATGTTTTTGATGGTGATGATGAAGATTGACATTTTGTAGCTCTTTACTCTTTTCAGGGTACTTCCACATAAAATATCTCATTTAATCCTCACACCTCTATGAAGTTTGTCAGCTAAGCTTTACAAACCAGAAAACAAGATCAGAGATTTTTTTTCTTGGTCATGGGCCCAATCATTAACAGATTAGGTACTAGAATCCAGGGGGACAGAACAGAATAGAGTGACATCAAATCTCACATTTTTTTCATATCCCACAATTTTGAAGACAAATCCTAGTTCATATATAAAATCAGAAGCAAATAGAAACACTTAGTCTAATAAGTATTTTAGTTGAATTTGTCTCTTCTCCTGATATTTTTATCATTATCTCTTTAACTGGTGCTATTGGAATAATATAGGAATTCAAAATTGTATTTGTATTTTATCTTTGTGAGAAGCAGAGAAACGGTTACTGAATGAAATCTCAGGAAAATCAGCTAATTTCCCGTCATCATTTCCCGAGTCACCTCAAAGGCGTCATTAACCACCTGTATCCTCAGTTTTCTCATATGAAAAATAGGGACATAACTGAATTTTTTGCTTATAAAGATGATTTGAACTTACTGCGAAATATTTAATTTAAACAAAATTTAATGTGCTCCCCTAAAGCTAAGTATTATTTTTTTAATGAAAACAATAAAAAGAGGGTTATGTCTTGCATTTATTTGTTTTGTATATTCAAGGGTGAGAAACTGTAGAAAAGCATCCAAGTGGCAGATTGATGTATAAAGCATTTTGAAGCATATTTTGCATAATTATTTTAAATTGGGAGAAGGAATAGCAGATCTTCCTACTGTGTATAATTTTAACAACACTGAGAATACTATCAGTGACGTAGGAATTACTACATTCTAAATAAAGTTTATATCATGGATTCATCCATAACCTCAAAGCTGATGGCTTAAAATCATCTTTCCAAGAGATTCTATACACGGGTGTCTACAAGACATGACACCAAATTGCACACATGCAAAATGGAAATCCCGTGCCTCACCATATTCCACAAAGGAATTAGCTTACCAACCAACCATGTATGTCAAACCTACGATTTAATCTTACACCCAAGGCTAGGAAGCTAGAAGTCACCTTTGATTCTTCATCAGTTTCCACCTCTGTATCCTTTCTTTCTTTTATCTTCTCACCTCTTCCATCGAGCTGTCTTTCTGTTTGCTTCTTCCTCTCCATTTATCCTGCCACCGATGTAATTCACACCTTCAGCTCCTAACACCCAGGTTAGGAATAGTCTTTTAGTTAGTCTTCCATTTGTGTCTGGTTAACCTGCCAAACTCACCTTTCTAAAGTACCCAAACCATCACTTTCATCATTTCTTCATTCACTTCTTTGATTCCTTATGGCCAGTGATGTCAGGTGAAAATTCCTCTGCCTAACTCCCAAGAGCTTGATAATCTGACATCATTCCCTCTATCCAACCATATGGCCCAAGTTTCCATTAGAACCAAGTTGCTTGTCTCAGCGATCACAAGCCACAATCATTCGGGGCCTCCTTCATTCCATTCTGCTTGCAGAAATGCCTTTTGCCTTGTACTTCCTACACAGTATTCAAAATCAGAATGTCTTCATCTCCAATGAAGTTATTTCAGTTCCTATTGAAGTAATAGTACCCATATGCTTTATTATTTTTCCCCTGATATCGCCATGTATTCATTTAGTTTTATTAAATTATTAGTGTCATTAGTATATCTTATCTTGTGTCAACAACCTTTATTATTTTAGTGGATATATAGATGCTTAATAAATATTGAACTGATTCATCATTGGCATTTTCACAAGTAATCATCCAACCACTTAATGTATAAAGTCACCTCCACCCCTTCCAGTTTCCCTTATTTACTTATGTAAAATAATATTGAAATAAGGCAATGTGATCATTCTCAGTGACTTAATGTTTGAAGTGCAAAATAAGAAAACCAAAGCCACAGGTTCAAGGGATTTTTAAGTCACACTACATGAAGGTCAAGTTCAAAAAAAGGAGAAAACAGTGAAAGCCAAAGTTTAGAAAGCTTCTGGTCCCTGGTTATATTTTTTAGTTTGAGGAAAACAAAACAAACAATGGTAAATGGATGCCCTTTACTTAGAAGAAGCAGCTGGGGGCCGTTCAAATAGAAGTGGGTGATCTCACAGCCCCACCCCCATCCTAGTGTCTTCAAACACTGAGCCATGGCGGGGAGAGGTGGGAAGGGAGATCGGAGGGCGAAAAGAAAACAACTCCGTAAGCTCAAAAATGTCTGTTTTCCCCTTTCAGCACAAATTGAAGTGATACCATGCAAAATTTGTGGCGATAAATCCTCTGGGATCCACTACGGAGTCATCACGTGTGAAGGCTGCAAGGTATGGGACTTTAACTCAGTACTGCCAACAGCATCCGCGTTTGCCTCAGGCATCTGTGTACTTCACAGTGCAAGAGGTGACACCTTTTGAAAGGCCTGCTAAAGGTTTCTTGTGCCTGCTGCTGACACTCAGGAATTCTTGCTTGGTGGGTGGGTGGGTTGATTTTCTGTTCTTTGGCCTTTTACGTTTTTGTCATTGTCTAACTCATCAGCAGGTGCTTAAAAATGGATTAACATTTAAAAGCTTCAATTATTCACATTTACAGAGCTATAAATACTGATTTGCTGTTTTAACAGTTTTGTGTCCAGTAAACTCCATCACATTTATATCAATATGAAAGGTTAAAATACAGATTATAAACTAATGGCCATGTATTTATTTATTTGCTTGAGAAAGCCGTCGAGATAGCAGTTGCAATATGCATGTGACCATCTTTTATTCTCATGTTCCAGAAAAATAAAAGAAAACTGGAAGCATGGAATGTTAAAAGTGGAGCAGATAATCTCTGATCAGTTAACAATCATCTGCCCCAACTTCATCAATGAGATCCTGAGGTCTAAACGAGATTATGTCATATGGCCAATGTCACTAATCTAGTTAGTGAAAGAACATGGTCAAAAGCATGTTTCTTTCTCTGTTTTTCATTCTCAGTCTAGTGTTCTCCTCCACAACAAATCCAACCAATTCTTCCAAAGACAAACTAATTCCTATGAGCAAGTTGATTTTTAAAACACAAAGCTGGAGGAATAGCAGTTAACATAGACTTAATCTGAAATAAGAGAAATTTGAAACTTAAGAGTAAATGTTTAAATTTAATCCTTAGAAGGAAAGAAAGGGTGAGAGACTAAATATCAAGGGGGAAATGAAAACAGTTCTGCAATTTTAAAGGGCAGTATGTAACCAGAACAAATGAAATGCAGCCTTAGTCCAGGAGGGGAAAGTGATAGACTGGCAAAGTTCTTGGCAAAAGCAATTATATTTTTGATCAAAGATGTAAGCAAAGTGAATCATTAATTTAAGGTCAGTAAACTGAAGGAGAGGCGGCACAATCAAAAATTCTAAGAACCAACTTTAATCTTATAAGACATTCAGATATAAATGAAACAAAACGTACTGTAACTCAGATACAGTACGGCAGTGTCTTCATAATAGTCTCAAAAATTATGATTCCTGGAATTGAAACTGGAGGGAAGAAAAGAAAAAGGACTAAATGAGAATAAAGTAGGAGAGGGATGCAGAGGGGGCAGAATAACATGAAATGTCCTAACCATCAACATACTGACTGGCTTTAGAGGTGATTAGCAGTAACCCATCTTTGAACATCATGAGATGTGCCTTGTATTCTGTTCTTCTGCAGACCTATAATTAAGAATTGCATGTTATTCACCTTAATGCAATTTTTTCAACTTATCACAAGACACGTTAAAGCAAAATTACGAATCAGCAATTTTTTACCCTTCTAGAATAAGTTATTACTTCCTCTGGGCAGATAGACAAACAGTTTTCTTCATAAACACTAATAATTTTGTTTTCTTTTTCTTAACTCATTTTTTATTTTTTTGGCCATGCCACGTGGCGTGCAGGATTTATTCCCCCAACCAGGGATTGAACCCATGTCCCCTGCAGTGGAAACGCAGAGTCTTAATAACTGGACCATCAGGGAATTCCCCTAAATACTAATAATTTTGGAATCAGACACCTCTCCAGTGAAATCACTTCCACCGTGTTGGTTTATTATGCAATTTTAAGAGCTCTGGTCTAGTTTACACAGTACCCATGAAAAATGTTTTGTAGCTCAATGTCAAAGTGGAAATGTTTTGTGTTTCATTGTATAAAGCCGTATTTAGAAAATGTCTGTTTTCAAAATATGAGGCTATGGTCATGTTAAGGAACTAAACATTTTAAGCAGTGATTTCCAAAAAAGATTTAACTACTGAACAAATATATTCCAACAGGTCAATAGCCAAGAACGAGTATTTAGGCTCCTGTCATCTTTTCTATTTAAAGAAGCAATCCAGGATCAAAGAACTTATGCTGTCATTTTGAAGCATATTCTGAGGTTTTAGTCAAAATGATACTGTACACCACACAACTTTTTTTTATTTCATGGAAAAACCCACATTTGTAAATATGCTACATTTTTCTCCAAATAGCAAACTCAAGAAATTCTGCTCAGACTAAGATATCAATGTCAGCACATTTAGTATCAACCTCTGAATTTTCATAATACTGTTTTCAGATCAACATAAACCACCCATTTTAAATAACATCATTTCCGCTTGTGCACTTATTCAAGTTCCTTTTCATCCAATAAAAATTTAAAACGAAATCTCTTTTTCATGCCAGAAACCTCATTTGCAGTAATGAGCAACAGATAAGCAAGAAATATCTCACAATTAATGTCAAATTGGCCTTAAATTAGGGCTGTAGCTGTGACTTCAAAAAAGTCTCTTCTGTCAACTCCTTCGCTAAGTGGCACTTAAGAGTATCCATAGGTAAAAACCACACAATTCTCTTGTAAAATGTAAATTCCAAGTCATCTTCAATCAAGACCGATGAGCCGAGGTTATGCCTTCTGACAGCTTTCACAGTATATGAAGTACATCATTTCAACCTCTGGGGGCTTAGATGGGATCTCTTGTTTAAGGGCTCCATGAGTTCATACAAACTGGCCAATTGGATATCTTATTTTGCCACCACTGGTTCATTAAATAAATAATACGCATGGATCTGTGGGGGCAAAACTAGCTCTTGTTGTTGAATGGCTTGAGGATTACAGCCACAAAACCAATTGGCACTCCTCTCTAAGGAGGTACTTGGCCACTCATCCCTTTCTGAGGCTTTTCATAAGGTTGGCCAAGCTCTCTGTTACAGTGCCTTGCCAAGCCATATGGAAGCCTGAGGCAAAAGGAAAATTGATAATTTTAATTCTGTTTTTATGTAAACTTTTGGGGAGTTTGCATTAATGTTGATTTGTAACATGTAAAATCAGTGTTAAAATGTTTATCCTGAGTACCACATCTTTTGGCAACCCTTAAATGTGTGACCAATGTGATTGCCTCACCCGTCTCACCCTAGTCCCAGCCCTGCACTATCCTCCCATTGATAGTTGAGGAAACTGTTTGACAGAAGTCAAGTGACCTCTTCCAGGCCTCTCAGCGAGATGGGCATTGCGTGACCATCCTGGACCTTTTCTAGGCTTCCTCCTTCCGAGAGATGATAGTACAGGATATCTTTTCCTAAAATTTCTCTTGGTAAATCTATTTGTAGATCACTGCTTTGTTTGTAGCACTTTGCGCTTTTGCTGTATTGTAATTCAAGGACAAGGAGTGAAGAGGGAAACTAATTAAATAGGTGAATGAATGGGTGAAGGATACTTTCATATCTCTGGAGAAAATGTTTATTTACCCCAGTAGGATTTTTGGTAAGAGAACTAAGGTGGGTGGTATCCAAAGAATTAAAAAAATAATAGACTCAGCTGTGGGTTTATTTATAAGGGTGATGTATGGTCCAAGGCAGTTCATTTTGTACCAGAAGGACCTAAACGTACTTGCATGAAGACCTCCTAGATCGCTACAGCCTGAGGCCAAGCAGAGAGCATTCATTCAGCTTTTACTTATTGTCTGTTTTCTACTGAGCAGTTTTTATACCATATTTCCTTTATTCAAAGATGTGTTTGACTCTAAGGTACATCACTGCTTAGAAAAGCAACCTTCCAGATACATTCTGGCCAAATACAAAAATTTCCAAATGGATAAAAATGCATCTTAGAAACTAGGAAGATAGTGGCACATATTGAACCCACACTACTCAGTACCCAGAGTTCCTCACTCCCACAGCACTTGACACACTCCTGTGTTATTGTCCCCGTGAAGTTTTGTCATACGTGACACTCTCCTCTGCCACTCCCTTCCCACTGCTCTCTGGGGGCAGGAACTCTATTCTGTTTTACTTTGCATAGAACATCACAGATGTCTTTAGTACACATTGATTGAATGAATGAATGAATGATACCTTCATATCTCTGCAGAGAGTCCAAATTTTCCCCAGTAGAAACATCTGTAAGCAGTCCAAGGAGAGGTAGCCAAAGAATTTTAAAAAGTGAACTCAGTTAACGACGTTCACTGTAGAAAATGTAGCTATCATCTCTGTTAATGGTCGCTTCTTATAAATTTATCTCCCTCCCATTCTCTTTCTCCCTCTAGGGATTCTTTAGAAGGAGCCAGCAGAACAATGCCTCTTACTCCTGCCCGAGGCAGAGAAACTGTTTAATTGACAGAACCAACAGAAACCGTTGCCAACACTGCCGACTGCAGAAGTGTCTTGCCCTAGGAATGTCGAGAGATGGTAAGGCATCGCCTTCCTACTTCTTACTTAAAGGCTTTCAAAATAGAGAGCTAGTGGGAAGCAGCCGCATAGCATGGGGAGATCAGCTCAGTGCTTTGTGACCACCTAGAGGGGTGGGATAGGGAGGGTGGGAGGGAGATGCAAGAGGGAGGAGATATGAGGATATATGTATACGTATAGCTGATTCACTTTGTTATAAAGCAGAAACTAACACAACATTGTAAAGCAATTATACTCCAGTAAAGATGTAAAAGAAAAAAGAAGGCTTTCAAATGTATGCTTTTCTTTTTTTCATTCAAAATTATTTAATTACAAGGCTGGATAACTGAAAAAGAATTTTCCATTAAAAACAATTTCAGAGGCAGAAAGTATAAATAACATACTGGCTAACACGTATATGTCACTCTAGGGCAGTGACATGATTAAACAGAAATGGCTTGAATCTTATGAATGCATCAAATGGATGCTTTGCTGGAGTCTGTTTAAGCTGCTGGAAGAATTCTAGACAAGGGGATAAGAAGAAAAGAAAACCACATGCTGGCAGTGTATTAAGAGGAAAAGTAAGAGCAAATAAATATATAGTATTGCCTATAACATAGGAAGAAAGGAAAGACTTTTCTGTAGCTCGTGGAGCAACCTGTGCTAACTAGGTTAGATGAAAGCCACATAGTCCTAGATCTAAAGGTGACCACTTGTCCAAGTTTGCCTGTGAATGAGGGACTTCCTGGGATGTGAGATTTTCTGAGCTAAAACTGGAAAGTCCCAGGCAGACCTGGACCACTTGGTCACTGGGTAAGTCTGACTGGTGCACAGGTTGCTTGGTATGTGGAGATGCTAAGGAACAGACCTTGCTTCTGTAGGAAGCCCAGAAGCTCCATTAATGGATGTGGACTATTCAGAGGCATGTTGAAGATCAGAAAGGCTGTAGCAGAGCTCCACGTCTTAGAAGGGTTCTGTAGATGGTGTCCTTTTCAGAATAGACTCAAGTGTGTACTCCACCTCACGCCCAATCCAAATGGGTGGCTTGGCACCCCAACTGAACTTCTTAGATTAATGAAAGAGGACAAATAAACTCACACAAAGAATTTCATCTAGCTTTGTGTCCATTTTTAAGTTTTCATCTAAATGGATTCTTTCCCCACTGACATTGGCCGTAGCACTCCTGTACTGGGTCATGAGCAGCCCTGTGTCCTGGGGCCGTTTCTGTCTTGTTCCCACTGTCCCCTCAGGGTCTGGTTAAAAGCAGGCACCTAAGTGTTTGTTGAATGAATCATGGAATTATCTTTTACCTAGAGCCTGAGACACAGACAAAGCCCCTGATACTCATTCTCTTTACGTGAATCACTGTGGATTCTGTGTCTCTGGTCACACTCCCTGGAATGAAGTTCAAGGCAGTGTGGACCAAAAAAGAAAAAGAAAAAAAAAAAAAGAAATACTTCTAGATTTTAAAGAAATATAGATAATTGGCATGCACTATCTCTTGGTATAAAGGGATTTTATGAGTTATTGAATTAAATGCGGGCCTTTTAGTCATTTGGATAAATTTAGCTCTGCATAGATGGTCTCTAAACATATACACTGTTTACTTCTTAGCTTGCATTCTCCAGATAGTTGCATCTTGAATTTCTGTTTACCATTTCTCTAATTTCCAACCCACATAAACTTGTCTTGCACAAAAGTATACCAATGAGATATATTTAACCCCCAAAATAAAAAGAATCTGACGTTGAGCCTTCCAGTTTATAGGTAGCTTCTAAAGCTACAAGATGTAGGTTTCCAACACTTTTCTGTGTATTAGCTGATTTTGTTTGTTTGTTTTTCTAGATTTGCGAATCACATACATTTACTCGTAGGGCAAATCTGTAGCCCTGTGTACTTGCACATAACTAAAGTGAAGAAAGTGGAGGGTGGAGATTAAATGGTTTTCAGAATTTCTTTAGTGAAATTCTGTGGGAATTCGAGTTGATAATTTTGTACTTCATTTCTGTAATATGGAGGCAGCATAATAATTGACAGTATCTGAAAAGTTTCATTAATAATTCTACAGAGAGACTAAGCCATTGAGTATTTGCCTTTGTTGCTTCTTCCTACAATAAAAGGAAGTATCTATTTGGAAAGAGAGATCATGTGGGTCTGTGCTGGTGAACAGAATCATGAGCAAGGGATGGGCATATGGTCCAAGGCAGATTCAGTGACGTCAGCCCACAAAATCTAAGAGGTTGTCTGAATCTCATGACATAAAAGAAATATATTGTCGGGGCGGCGGTGGGGACGTGGGGATCGTTTATGGATAGAGCCGCCGTCTATTCTCAAGGGGGAAGAAATTTACTACAGCATAAACTTCTGTGCAAGAAAAAGCAAGATAGTATCTAAGGATGCTGAGGATTAAGGATAATGATCCATCTTAATTTTAGGTCCAGAGACAATCTTGAGGCTTCCAGGGACATCTTTCAAAATGCCTCCTAAGCATGGCTTGTGTCAGATTAATGGCGAGGAGAAATGCTCAGGAGTGATAGTAGTGGCTGGGAATGAGGAGAAGAGGCTTCAGCAGAAGAAAAACATGATTCTGTCTATGGGAAAACAAATTCTTCTTTACTCTTTATATAGAGGAAGTTTGTTATAAGCCTTGAATATATAGGGTACTTTAAACTAAATAAGTCACACTAATACCTGGGAAGCTAAACAGGTTTTATCTCCTATTGATAAGTAATGCCTAGTATGTGGTATCAAAGGATTATGAAGCCCTGAGGTTATGGTTAATTAGCTATGTCTAGTAAGGGCTCAAGAATAAGAGGTAGTATGTGTCCTGCCACTAATTTATTATACCTACCTTCTACTGATGAAGCAGATATTTTCAAAGTGCTTTAGCAGTAGTACCAGTAGCCAAGGTAAGATGCCCTCACACCTAACTTCTATATACACACCACCCAGCTTCCCTCAGACATAAAGTAGCATCTTCATTTTAATATTTGCATTTGTTTTCTGTCAGTTATGCCTGGCTCCAAGAATATTTACTTTAATATCTGGTCACTAAAACAATATGACTGCTAGTAGATGGCTTGATATAACTGTTGACTCCGCTGGACTTTCATTCTCTCCTGAATTTCAGCTTCTGTAGTGGCGTATTAGTCATGGGAGATATATGAGTAGACAACAAACTCAGCAGTAACAAATTTGTTCGAATTTAGCATTGGCAAAGAATCAAAAGTCAAATCCACTTGGAATACATACACATGTGTTTATGTGTATAAAAAGGTGAAGGTATTGCATGTATACGTGTGTGTGAAGTGACGGCATACATATGTGCACTGAATCTTCTCCACTATTGTATTTATTTCTTTTTTTAACTGGACCCTTCACAAATGTTAGTTGCCGGAATCTTCAGTGTCAGGTGTATTAGCACTACCAAAAAAAAAAAAAACAGAAAATATTTTGGCATCAATAGGAAGATATTGCACCTCAAAGAAAAAGCATTATACTCACCTTGCAATAATGAAGTATGTGTCCTCCTAAGTGACATACCTCTATGAAAAAATGGAAGCTGCCCTACACGGGCAGGTGTCACAGATTTAGCTTCTTGTTATCCAGAATGGCATGGTCCAGTGTGGTATCCACATGTTGCTATTTAAATTTAAGTTTAGATTTATTACAATTCAATAAAATTTAGTTCTTCAGTCACACTAGCTATATTTCAAGTGCTCAAAGCCACATGTGCCTTGTGGCTACCATATTGGAAAGTGCAGGGAACATTCCATAATCACAGGAAGTTCTGTTGGAGAAGTGAAGGGGAAGAGAGAGAATGTTTTAAAATTATGAATAGGGTTGGGTAGACAGAATCCGATTTTTTTCTACAAATCTTAAAGCACTATAAAAAGGCATAGCCTTGAAATTTTAAAGTTAAATTAAGACTAGTTTCCTTGATAAGTAGTGAGATATAAACATAAAGCATTTCACAGCCAAAGATAGTAAGATAAAATAATTTCCAAAAGGACTATGGAAAGTCATAGATGATAGTTCTACAACGGGGTTCCTCTTGATACCAAAAACATGTGTCTAGTTGTCATGTGGTAGGAAGCAGAAATCTTTGAAGAAGCATCATCTTTGCTGTATAGTTACTCCAAAAACTTCCATTCCATTTAGAATCCCACAATTCATATAGATATGAAACGATTTCCAATACTTTTGCGTAAAATGGTTCTTTGCTAGTGTGGGATCAAAATGAGGGTTAAGAGCATATCATGAGCAAATACTATCATCACTGAATATTTATAAAGCACTTGCAATGTATACAAATTGTGCTAGTTTCTTTGAGAGCTAGCAGTTTAACAAGAGGCTGTCTCCGTACTCAAGTGAATCTCATTAACAGAATAATTCAAGTTTGAGAGGGTCAAACACGTAAACTATGTGCCATTCTGATTAATGGGTAGTGGTAAGAAGAATGCAAATACTTGAAAATATAATAGTAATATAGCCTTTGTTAAAATAGGCCCATGAAGTCATTTGTAGAGACGTGGATGGACCTAGAGACTGTCATACAGAATGAAGTTAAGTCAGAAAGAGAAAAACGAATATCACATATTAACGCATATATGTGGAATCTAGAAAAATGGTACAGTTGAACCGGTTTGCAAGGTAGAAATAGAGACACAGATGTAGAGAACAAACGTGTGGACACCAAGGGGGGAAAGCGGGGGTGGGGACTGGGATGAACTGGGAGATTGGGATTGACATGTATACACTAACATGTGTAAAGTAGATAAGTAATAAGAACCTGCTGTATAATAAACAAATTAAATTAAATGAAATTGAAAACATAGGCCCATGAATACAATAAATGTATTTACAAATAGTGACAAGAAATTATTTTTATATCAGGAAAGTTCAGTAGCTTTATTTTGCCAAGTACTATAATTTTTTTCCCAAATATGTCACCACTTTTATTACAGGAAGGGGCATAAAACTGAAACACTGGCTCATCAGTGTTTCTGAAATGAATGGAAAATTGATTCTAAAATAGTATTATAGCCATTGTCAGCAAAGTCCTTGATTTAGGATGAAGCCTGATAATTCCAAAATGTTGTGGAGCTTTAAGTTTTTTCTTTGAAAATATTTAAATTGCTCAGTGACTTGATAAGTCAATTTTTTTTGGAAGAGGCCTAACTATTCACCATTGAGTGGGTTTTCGGGTGTTTACAGGGCAAAGAGCTTGGCAGCATACTTATTTGACACTGTTAGCTTTGATTGTGAGGTCTTATGGTTAACAGCAGAATTCTGAACCTAAAATTGTTCAGTATAGGGTCTTGACTGGGCTCGTTTCCGTATCTGCTGTCAGCTACAGGTCAGTTCTACAGCTCTCCTGTTTGTAGTTGGCCTTGCCTGAGATGGTTCTGCTCTGTTTCACATATCTTATCCTTCAGCAAACTAGTGTAGGCATGTCCTTTTCATGGTGGGGCACTCAATCACACAAGCACTTTTTAAGCCTCTGTTTGTGTCACATATGTCAATATCCCATTGCTGCAGAGCAGATCACATGACCCTGAGTCAAGGGGATGGAGCAGGATGCCGGCACAGAATGAAAGGGCACTGCAAGTTTACATGGGGTAGAGCAGGCAAATAGGCAAGAAGCATCAGGGTTACTAACGCAGTCAACCTGCTACAATGTGTATTTCACCTAAAGTGTATAGAAATCTAAACAAGGTTTAGGTTTGGAAAAAGGTTTAAAAAGAGCCACTACATTTTTGTCTCCACGTCAGAAGAGTTCCTCGTTCTTAATTTTTTCTCCCTATAAATTTTAAATGAATAAATGCAAAACTATTCTACTAAAGTAAGGCAGAAAGTAGGTCTACTCCAGCCAAAACAAAAATCTTAACCTACAGCAGTAGACATAAATTTTGGATTCACCTCTCTATCTCTGTCACAAAGAGCTGTTCCGAATCTACAGGAATGCAAAGGGGGTGAGCGAATGGAGAAGCATGTGACATTTCTTGGGGGGAAAAAGTTTTTTCTGAATCAAAACTTACCATGATTTAGTTTTTTCGTATACTAAAAGGGTTTTTTTCCCCCTAGAGAATGATATAGAGTAAATTATTTGGAATGATAAAGATAGAAAGCTTTCTCTAAAAGCAACTACAGAATTCTGTCCATGGACAAGCTGAAAATACCACTGCAGTTAGGAAGCAAATATATTTGTCTCTGAGGAACAGAATTTAATGCCCTGTCTCTACAAAGTTAAACACAATGATTCAAAACCCTATAAATTCCATACATATGTGTTAGCATAGGTATTTGTTTTTCTCTTTCTGACTTACTTCACTCTGTATGACAGACTCTAGGTCCATCCACCTCACTACAAATAACTCAATTTCATTTCTTTTTATAGCTGAGTTATATTCCATTCTATATATGTGCCACATCTTCTTTATCCATAGCCACATAGCACAGGGAGATCAGCTCGGTGCTTTGTGTCCACCTAGAGGGGTGGGATAGGGAGGGTGGGAGGGAGACGCAAGAGGGAAGAGATATGGGGACATATGTATATGTATAGCTGCTTCACTTTATTATAAAGCAGAAACTGACACACCATTGTAAAGCAATTATACTCCAATAAAGATGTTAAAAAAATAGAAAAAAAAAAGAAATGAACAAAATCATTTTAAAAAATACCTATAAAAATGACAGCTGAGGTGGCATGGGGAGTTTGGTCTGGATTAACCCGATTACTTGTCTTTATTCAGAAAAATTAGTGGATAATCGCCACTTGGTTTTCCTACTTAGGCAGTGTCAGAAAACCAGAACACAGGTTTTTCAAGATTAAGGAGATAGGAAGAGTTTGGGCTGCTCTAAATCCATCCCTCACATCCACAATCCAGCAGGCAGAAAGGAGAATGGCGAGCCTCAGGACACACACCTGTATGCAGCGCTTCCATTTACTCCCTGTTATCCAGAACTTCATCACAGAGACACATCTGGCAGTGAGGGAGGTTGGGAAATGTGGTCTCCATTCTGAACAGCCTATGCTCAGATAAACTTTGGTAGCTCTATAACCACTGGAAAGAGAAAATAAATATTGGAGGAATATCGGGGGGTAAAATGGCAGCTGTTTCACAACAAGAATCTCTTCTTGGTGCTGGAGAGTTCTTAAGCACTTCACCATTTAGTCATTCTCAGAAGTTATTCTCATCAACTCTACTGACTGAATCCAGAAATTGGACCTATTTCTACTCTCCATTCTCTTCTTCCCACATTCTCTGAGCTCCCACCACCAGCCGGTGACGGGAACAGTGTCACAAAAGAAAAGAAAGCAGAATCTCAAAAGGGAACCTGTAAGTTTACCACAGTCCCTACCATTAACATGAGCCGAACGGGCATCATGCTTGATGATTCAGATAAGGTGGCCCCTCGACTCCGGACGTTCACAGCCTTAAACGGGAGTTGACAGCATGTGAGGAAAAATGTCTCGATCCACAACAGTTCAGGAGGTTAAGCTCTATAAGAAACAATGAATTCAGATCAAAGCATCTTTGTACTACTCTATGACCACTGACAGAGCCTCTTTCTCCTTCTTCTTCAGGATGGTTAAGGATTTTTCCAGAAGAGGGGGGCAGTATAAAACTTGGGGACGGTAGAATAAGAAAGGAAGGGTTACTGTTGTCTCACTTGCTGGGTATCATATTCACGAAATTGCTATTTTCCAAAGATTGTTTTCATTTGATCCCCAAATCCAGTCGAAGGTAAATGATGTGGTTTCCTTGAAATTGTGTTTCTCACCCTGCTTCACATCCTTGGTCTTACCCAACGTGCTATTTAGAAAATAGTGAAATAATAGGGTCCTATCTGGCAATCTAGAAACCGTAATGCTCAGGAGGGAAGCTAATAATGAGTGTTGGTCTACATTTGAATAGGTACTATGTGGTAGTTTTGGGTTTTTGTGAATTCTTTTTTTTTCCCTGCAAGTAAGAAAGAATGAGGAAATATGCCTTCTAACTTCGTGTCAATGAGAAATACATCTATAAATTTGTACCTTTCTTCCTAGCTTAGATTTAGTTCTCACTATGCACATAAACCAGTACAGACACCCGTGAGTATAACCTTTTATCAAATGTGGAGTGCAAGCGAATGGACTCTTGGGCTGTGGTACTGGGACTTGGTGCATTTTATGTTGAGGGGACAGCCATCCATGAGCCCTTGGACTTAAGGTGGTTAATGCGAATGAGAACCTCAAGTGCTGTTTTCTGCTTTTGTCTCCCACCCAGCTGTGAAGTTTGGGAGGATGTCCAAGAAGCAGAGGGACAGCCTGTATGCTGAGGTGCAGAAGCACCAGCAGCGGCTGCAGGAGCAGCGGCAGCAGCAGAGTGGGGAGGCGGAAGCCCTCGCCAGGGTGTACAGCAGCAGCATCAGCAATGGCCTCAGCAACCTGAGCAACGAGGCCAGTGGCACTTACGCCAACGGACACGTCATGGACCTGCCCAAGTCCGAGGGTTATTACAACGTGGATTCCGGCCAGCCGTCCCCTGATCAGTCAGGACTTGACGTGACTGGAATCAAACAGATAAAGCAAGAACCTATCTATGACCTCACATCCGTACCCAACTTGTTTACCTATAGTTCTTTCAACAACGGGCAGTTAGCACCAGGGATAACCATGACTGAAATCGGTAAGTGGAAATCTCCTTCCGGCTCATTTTTGGAAATTCTACTTTGAAATCGCCTTGGTCCTGTTTAGTAAGATCATTTTCTTAGGTCTAAGTTGAATTACTTGCATTTATGGCTTCTAGTGAGGAAACTAATGGATTTTAAAATATAGTCTAATAACTGTCACTGTTCCCATGGCCCATACAAGTTTATTTCAAGCAAAGGAAGAAGGAAAAAAATCATGAATAGAAAGATGCGATCTGTAAGGAACAGATGCTATCTGTTGAATTTGGGTTCATCACTGAAGGAAAAATGTTATTGGTATAAACAAGAAAATTTCAGCAAGTGTTCAAAGTGATGCTATTAAAAGTGAAATAGCTAAGGGATATAGAAGCAGTATGTAGTAACTGAATGAACGGGGCTCCAACTCTCCATCTAAGATAACTGGGGACAAACCTCAGTTTCCTTCTGTGTAAAGGCAGAGGGGTAGACCAGAAGACCTCTAAGCCTCTTGTAAATCTGAATTCAAGAATTCTACGTGGGAATAGAGTCTGAATTACTGGCAGTAAAATAAGTGTAGTCTGGAATATTACAGAAGGGCAACAAATAAGCCCCTCTGAGCAGGGCAAGTCCCAGGCACGGTTGCATCGGTTGCAGACCCTCCTGCTTCTGCAACATCCTTCTTTAAGGAGTGGTCTTCAAGAGTGCACTCTCTCTTCTGACCTGTCGCCGCTTTGTTTTACCCTGTTAAGCTTAGGAGTCTGTTAACCGTCTAATCAGTTGATTTTATTAACTAATTGCCATAAAAATATGGATGTAGGTTTAACACATTACCCTCCTGGGTAACAGAGCTGTATGTTAACAGTAGCCCGGAGGAGCTAGCAGGCAGTGGCTACAGCAGGCTTCACGCAGTACTTAGTGCACAGGGAAAGCAGTGTGGAGCTCGGGAGTCTTTGAGACTGCCATCTTGCCCTGAGAGGTGGCAGAAAAGAGTGGTTACGCACCAGGCTACCTGAATTCAAATCCTGGATCCGTCGCCTGTTATTTGAGCTGAAGCAAGTCTCTCAATCCTGGTTTGCTCATCCTGTTTTTCGGTGTTCTTTTTTTCTCAAAAAACGTTAGCTCACAGATCACACCGTTGTTGTAAGAATTAAATGAGTCAATACTTGTAAAACAGAGCCATGTTTGGCACTCCGCAAGTGCTCAGTAACTCTGAGCTGTTCTCACTTGCCCACCACGTGTTCAATCACCTTCTCTGTCTAAACTGTGAGTAGGAGCCTAAAGCCTACGAGTGTTTTAAATAAAGTTGATGTGAACACATAACGAAGGACACGCCATATGTATCTTGGCTACTTCTACCATCTGGTTGAGGAAGAAGTGACGTGACACAGTTATAAAACCCGAAACGCTATTTTTCTCTCTTAGCAATTCAGCCTGTGGCAGGGAGTAAAGAAGTGGTTGACATAACACCTGTGACGACATCCACAACTGAGAGACATAGAAAACTACACATCAGCTCTAATAACAAAAATATTCATTATGTTGCTCTCCTTAACCTGTGACTGTGTCACAGGCACTTCACACACATTTAATTTTCACAAGCATCTTATATGATAAGTAAGACTATTACTCCCATTTTACAGATGTGGAAACAGAGGCTCAGAGATGTCTCATGACCTGCCCAGGGTCCTTTGATTACTAAATGATAGAGGCAACTTCCATTCCAGGCTGTCTGATTCTGGAGTCCTTGTGCTTATCCATTATCCTGCTACTTGCTATGGGCTTAATATTCACAAACTGCATTGTCAATCAATAGGGGACAATCTGTTTAAGTGGAGTCACTAGGTCTTTCCAAAGGGACATGTTAAAAGGAAAAGGAAATAGGCACCATTTTTTGCTTTTATCCTACTTAGTATCTAAGTTCCTGAGTTTGCTATTGATTGGGAACACATGTTTAAAACATACTGAAACAAAAACAATTGTTGGATGATCTGATCCATACCCAAAAAGGAAAGACTTCTAAGAATGCAGAAATCACAATTTCTTTGTGATTTAGAATCAGTAGGAGGTATTACAGAAAAAAAAACTACAGCCAGAAACATGAAGTTCAAGTAACCCTACCCAGGTCATTCTCCTCCTGGCCTTGAGTCTATTCCTCTATGAACTAGAGAAACTCCAAATTCATCCAGATTTTCTACACAGACATTGACCCCAAAATGAACTAGCATTTATTTTTCTTACTTATTTCAAGATACTATTAGTCTTTAGAGATCTCTAGATCTGCCTTAAATTTTGGAGATTTCTTCCATCAGACTTTTAGGGATGCAATTAGGTTGTTCTCCTAGTGCTCTCAAATTTAGCAGGCTCCTAAGCCTAAGTATTGCCTTGGTTCCCATTTCGTTAAAACGGCAATGCCATCTAGTGGACACAAACTCCTTCGAGTGTCGAACGGAGCCACAACAGTGTGATGCACTATGCTTTCCTGCACGATCCAAAAAACTGCCACTCATTTCACTAAAGCACTGAATCCATAACAGTCTAATTGGGCAGGAGGGCATCAGTGGTGTAGTACAGCAGTTAAGAACTTTGGTTCTGGAGTCGGACTGCCTGAGTTCAAAACCTCATTGTTCCTTTTCCCTCAGGCAGTTTACCCAACCTGAGTCTCAGTTGTAAACCTGAGATAATAATAATCCCTACCTGTGTGTGTGGATTAAATGAGTTAATATTTGAAAATTCTTAGAACAGCTTCTGTCATGCAGAAGCCTCATCATTATTATTATTATCAATATAATTGATATTATAATGGTATTAATCTCATTATTACTTAATAACATTCTTGGTCATTACCTAATTACCTGTTATTGAGCCCCTCATGGTGCCTAGCAATATTCAACTCTTATAACAACCCTATTATGCCTGTTATGTAAGTATTCGTATAACCATTTTAGAGATGAAAACATTGAGGCTCAGAAGTTACAAAACTTGTTAAAAGCAAAGTAAGCATGTGAACCCAGGTCAAAGTAACATCAAAACTATATTAGTTAAAATAGTTAAAAACTATTTTAACTATGTTTCTTCCCGCCCCTCCCAAGTTAATGGCATTCCCACAACAAGACTTGCTTGGTGTTTGCTGCCTACCTGACGTCCTACTGGGCGCTACAAAGGAGCTTACAGAGGGTGCACGCTGACATTTTGACTTGAGTTGATTAACAAGGATCTATACTAATCTGGCTGGGGACAATTTGTCATAGAAAGAAGCCTGTGCTGACAAATATAGAAAATGTGGGGAATTCCCTGGCAGTCAGTGGTTAGCACTTGGTGCTTTCTCTGCCAGAGCCCAGGTTCAATCCCTGGTCAGGGAACTAAGATCCCGCAAGCCACACTGTGTGACCAAAAAATAAAATAAAACCTTTTAAAAAAGAAAATGTGATTTTAGCCACATTCTGACTGTGTGAATTGAGGCTATATCACACGAGAGAATTTTTTAGCATCACTCTTGGCTGCTAGAAGTACTGATCTGCTTCCTCTCGTTTCTGAGAGAACAATGAAATTGTACAACCAGATCATGATTCTGATTGGGCCATTGTAAAAGCAGATTAAAAAAACCAAAAAACCAAAAAAACACAGTTTTTGGATTAGCCCATACAGAATACAGTCTTACAGTTTTGAAATTTTAATAAAAATACATGTTTAAGAACCGTAAAACAATACTAGCAACAGCATGCAGATCCCCAAAAGTCAATTAGTTGAGTGTTATGAGTCAGGAATATTCCTCCTGAAAAACCATTGTCTTTCTAAAAGTGCACCAAAGGAACTACAGACTTCTAGGTTCAGGACCCCTAATAATAATACCTTATGGATAGACAGAAACAGAAAATGCCTTCATGCACATTAGCCAATTTAAGCCTCCTACCAGTGCCTTCAGGTGGGAAGGGAAGAAATCATCCCATTGCGCAGATGAAGAAATTAAGGGTCAGAAAGAGTGAGTGATTTTCCCAGGCACAGAGTTAGTTATGTGGTAAAGCTTAAGTTCTTATGTAGCTCATTCTACTACTCTACACTTCCAGGCATTCTTTCAAAAACATATTTTTTTTAACATGTTTATTGGAGTATAATTGCTTTACAATGGTGTGTTAGTTTCTGCTTTGTAACAAAGTGAATCAGCTATACGTATACATATATCCCCATATCTCCTCCCTCTTGCGTCTCCCTCCCACCGTCCCTATCCCACCCCTCTAGGTGGTCACAAAGCACCGAGCTAATCTCCCTGTGCTATGCGGCTGCTTCCCACTAGCTGGCTATTTTACGTTTGGTAGTGTGTGCCAGGCACTCAAGGCAAGGAGAACACGGTTCCTGTCCTCACCGTCTAGGAGGCAGGCATGAAAATAAATAACTGCAGTTCAACGCCATGTATTCTAAATCCCGAGCATGACGATACCACAAACTCTCCTGCAGGTGAAGAAGATGGGGGGTATTGCTTACTCTGTGCCACAGCTCTTTTCAGGAATGTTTTATTCCCATAGTCTTGGGACTTGAAAAGAAAATGTGGGTAAGCAAGGAGGAAAGCATGAAACATTTCCAGAATAATATGCTTGGGTTTCTCAAAATCCCATAGGACAAAACACCATAAAATAAGAGAAGGGCAAAAGTAAGCTGCAAATTAATATTTAGGCATCAGGTTTAACGGGGTTTAGCAGGAATTTTACTTCAAGCTGGCATGGTGGAGGTGTTATATCTTTGCAGATAAAATTTTGCAGTGGTTGGTGGCAGGGAAAGGAAGCTGGCTATAGGAAGACTGGCAAACAAGCAGAGAGAGAAAATGGAAGGTTGTGTTTTTGCTCCCCCACTATAGCCCTCAGATGGGTTGGAGGATTCTGCAGGACTAATACTCTTAATAAAAGCTTATTTAAGCTCAAAGATGATTGACAGTGTATCCATGAGGTACCAGACAACAAGACAATTCAAACAGCCAAACAACATGCTTTTAAAAACAGGGAAAAAATCCATCAAATTAGTTTCAGTG